ATTTAAAATTGTTTGTATTGCACCCCACCCTTTACCTCTTATGCTTTATATTTCTGCATAGCACTCATTTCTTCTAGCCCAATACATAGTTTGCTTACTTAAATTTTTTCACTCCTGCCTCTCCTCACTAATAAGTCCACAAAGACAGAGGTATGTCCTTTGTGGCCCTATCCTTAGTGCTTAGAACAGTGCCCCCCATACTTAGTTAGTGCTCAATAAATATTTCTTGAATGAATAAATAAATGTTATCTCAGACTTCACAATCCTCAGTAAGAGTTGGGATTTTATTTATTTGTTTGTTTAGTTAGCTAGTTGAGACAAGATCTCACTCTGTCACCCAGGCTGGAGTGCAGTGGCAAGATCATAGCGCACTACATCCTTGAACTCTTGGGCTCTAGCGATCTACCTGCCTCAGCCTCCCAAGTAGCTGGGACTATAGTAGGTGCCACTGCACATGGCTAAGTTTTGTATTTTTTTGTAGAGACTGGGTCTCGCTATATTGCCCAGGCCAATCTCAAACTCCTGGGCTCAAGCAATCCTCTCTCAGGCCTCCCAAAGTGCTGGGATTACAGGTGTGAACTACTGCACCTGGTTAAGGTTATCTTTACACTTGAAATTGATGCTGGGAAAAATTACAGAATCTTCTCAAGATTACCCAGCCAGCAAGGGTTGTAGTCAGGATCTGAGCCCAGGGGGGTGTGACTTCTGGCCTGTCTTCTACCTTACCCATCTACTTTCTGCCATTCCCACTTTTCTGCATGTGAACCTTAACAGTCGTGTCTACATTGGGACCTACTGCTCTGCAAAACAGTGTGTGCTGCTGGCCTGCCTCACTGCAAAAGGGGGGAGCTCAATAGTAACAGAGGGTGGGGGCCAGGAAGGCAGAGAAAGAGGGTGTAGAAGGGAAGGAGTGTCGCCAAGTAAGTACCCCCAAATAACCAGACATCTTCTAAGGTGGATTTGCAGAAACCTTTTGTACGTTCCTCCTCCCCCAGAGAATTTTTTTATGGGATTTTCAAACCTGTTCCTCACCCTTCTTTTTTTCTTGGCAAACCATTGCTTATGCTAAGGTTATACAAACTCCTCCACCAAATGAGTGGAAATGGTTGACTCAGTTCTCTGGTTTGCTTTTGTGCTATCTGTTTCCGGTAAGCAGTGATTTTTTCCCCCAGTCTGTTACTACCTATTTACAGAGCAATCCTCTATTGTTTCAAAAAAGTATAAAAGGCTGAAGAAGAGACTAAACTGTGTCCAATGAAATCTCTGAAATGTCCATTGCAGTTCAGCAGCTAGGGGACAGGATTAGACCTAAAAAGATTTCAGAAGGTCTCTCTTCTTGCTCTTGGACACGCTGTCACTCAGCAGGAATGAGAGTGATGTCATCTTTTCCTGACATAATTAGGGAATGAGATATTCCATAGGGTACAAATGGTAAATAACTACAATTTATCCTCAGTGTCGAAATTTTTTAGTTTAGTGTCAAAAAAACCACACAAAGTAATTCACCTTCTTTTGATTTAAAAATATTTTAAATTTCACCTAACTTTTTTTGAGCAGAATATTCAGAGCATATTCATTTTGATTTGTGTGTGTGTTGAAGAAACAAGGTTGGAGAGTAAGTGTGACACATAGAAATGAGATTCTGAGTACCTTCAACAGCAGTAAGAACAGTTTATGTTTTGCTTGGTGAACTTCTGTTTAAGTATGCATGTTTTCTGTTTGTTTATTGTTTGCTTTTGCATGAAAGGGCCTCAAACTACTCCATTTCTTGAGTTCTTTTGGCTTTTTAAATCCCTTTTCTGGCATCTCTCTTGCTATGAGTTGTCAGTAATTGTTTTTGAACACCCCCAGGGGCTTTGCCTCTGACAGGGGGACTCTTTTTCACCTTCATGCCTCTCCTTTCTCCTTGTCCCTGATTTTAATTTACTATTTCTACTCTACTATGAGATGGTTAACAAGTAACCAACTTCATACAAATTAAATTTAAATTAATAGAGACATTGTGAGAGATTTTTCCATAAAATACTATATAGTGTTTTTGGGGCAGTAACAAAATTGATTTTTATCTGCTGTGTTTGCAAATCGATCTTATTTATACACTCAGTTCTTATGCTGGGCTTTTGAGCGATGGATTCTTGTTTACTTTTTTGTCCCTAGTCTAAATAATCATGGTCACATCTTGTCACATTTCATTCTGTACATGTAAAAGTTAAAATTTTTGTACTAATTCTTTCTTTTCCAAATCAAATCCTACTTTAGGTATATATTTATTTCACTTAGAATAGTTTAAAATTTTTATTAATGCTTTAAGTGACATTATTTTTTGAAATTGTATTAACTTTATACCATATAACCTCATTTATTTGAATAACATAGAGGAAAATCCGGTCTGAATTAGCAAAATGCTAAATGTAAGTTCAGTTGAAGGCATGATATTTCATTTCTCCAGGCCTCTGAGAGAGCAGCACTAAAACTTTGGTATGTGCCCAGCATATATTTTTTTTTACTCAATATTGTTATTTTTCCTGAGTAATATATGGTAGCCAACAGAGTATGGCCAGTGTTTGGAACTTCATGAATGAATGATGAAACAGAATTAGGGAGCCAATTAAAGGATCTTGCTCCTTTGCCCAAGATATAAAATGGAGATACCAGCAGTGGTTCTTTAATGGTGACATAGGTTGCCTTGCAATACACATCCTCCCTCTTTCTGTCCCTGGGGATCTTTAGGGACCAGGGGATTCTGGGACTAGGTGGTAATGGACCCCTTCTACCCCTGAAGTCTGTGATCCCACAATTCCTCATGTCTCCCACGACTTCAGAGTGACTTGTGAGACATGTTAAGGACATGGCCTTCCAGCAAATGGCCTCCATATGATGAACCTTGGCATGTGAATTTTACTAGATGTCCTCAGGGCAGTGTAGGATGCATTTGCTGTGTTTTTTCTCAAGGCCTTTCAGCACATCTTTTCAGGATAATTCCAATTAAGATGATAACTTGGAAAACATATATTTGCCCGGCCCAGGACACTGAGTTCCTATTCTCTTTCAGCAAAATGAAAATGTAAATGATCTATTAAGCAGGCATCCTAACCCAGCTGGTTTGCTTAAGCTCCCCTGACTTCTTTGAGGCTAACAAGTTTAAATTCTCCCTTCTGGGTTCTTACGTCACCTTCTTATGTAGCCTCACCACACCTCACAAGCAAAAAGCCAAAGACGTGAGATTTTTGTCCCATGCTTTCTTACTGCTGCAATGCAAATGTATCAATAGAAGCTCTGCCTTATTAAATATTCTAGTTCAGAACATTTCCAATTACTTTATAGTTCAGCTCCCCTTTTTATCATCTATGGCCCTACACCAAAGCCCAGCAAAGTGAAGTTATTTATTCCTGTGAAATACACAATGTAAGCAGATTGTAGAATGACCTATACATGTTAGTGCAAAACAAAGCCTTTCTTCACAGAATAAGAAACAGCCGATTAAAACCGCAGTATAAGAAACAGCCGATTAAAACTTTTCAGCTTGGCCGGGTGTGGTGGCTCACACCTGTAATCCTACCAGTCTGGGAGGTCAAGGTGGGTGGATCAATATAGGTCAGGAGTTTGAAACCAGCCTGAGCAAGAGTGAGACTCTGTCTCTACTAAAAATAGAAAGAAATTAATTGGCCAACTAAAAATACATAGATAAAATTAGCTGGGCATGGTAGCACATGCCTGTAGTCCCAGCTACTCAGAAGGCTGAGGCAGAAGGATCGCTTGAACCCAGGAGTTTGAGGTTGCTGTGAGCTAGGCTGATGCCACGACACTCTAGCCAGGGCAACAGAGTGAGACTCTGTCTCAAAAAAAGAAAAGAAAAAAAAAAAAAAACAATTAAAAAACAAACAAAAAAACTTTTCAGCTTAATGGGTCTTTTGGGGAAACTAAACAATTCATTGCTACTGTAATTTTCCCCAAAGTTATTTTGCTGCTTCATTTCACTGTGTTGACAGACTCCCTGCCCCTTTCCCTGCTATATTTGTGCCTATCCTCTACTAAAGTGGCAAATCGAGGATCCTTTTGATCATCTACAGACATTGCCAAACTTTTAACATTGTTCTCACAAGTACACCTTCCCTTCAATGATAGCATAAATTGTCCTTTTAAGCCTACTAAGTCAGATCCTGCCAATTTTAAGTCAGATCCTATCCTTTTAAGCCTACCAAGTCAGATCCCTTACAATTGGAAGATCAGTGTACAATCATCTATTTTATATAACAGGTTACTTGACAGTGTCCTGTTATTTAAACACCACTATGTCCATCCTCAGAAACTACCAATGGTCTTATTGTGATTGGCACATGTGACTACAAAAGACGTCCTACATGGTACTCCTGTTACACCCTCAGGAATGTTCTTTGCCAAGCACAGAACCCACACAGATCTCTTGGGTTCTGGGCTTCAAACCACACTTGACCTTTGAGGTTTAAGTTAATTTATTCTTGGCAAAAGAAAATGTGTTGCTTAAAGAGAATAGGATTCGAGAGGCTCATAATAAAGACTTATAACAACACTTCTTGGACCTCAGATATGTCTTACAAAACAAAATGTTTATGAGCTAAGTGTAAATGATTCAGAGACATACGGATCAAATTTCCCCTAAAATGCAAATAGATTTTAAAAATTAGCAGAAAAAGGGCTTGGCAGAAGATGTGCTTTGAATTTCACCAAGCCCTGTGTATTGGTAATGCAGTTTAAGAATTCTTGACAAATCCAAACTATGACTAGGTTTTCCCTTTGTTGGCCTCTTTTATTCCCTCGGATTCTTATTTGAGAATTCAGTGGTTCATAAGGAGGGAGAAAAGTCCTGGATGTTTTTTGTTTTTTTTTTTTTTAAAGGGGCTGGTTGTCACACTCTTGGACAGCCAGAATGGGTAAGTTAGAATTTGGCTTTGGAGAGTTTGTCTTGGTTCCTGCTGTTTTACGACGTTTCCTTATGTTTCCTTTCGTGATTATTTTCTCAGGTTTGCACCTCCTGCTCCATCTCCTCACCACATCAGCCCCCGCAGAGTGCCAGCTCCTTCTTCCATACTGCAGAGGACACAGCCTCCCCACACGCAGCAGCCTCACCTGAAGTCCTACCACCCGGAAACAAACTCTTCTTTTCAACCAAACGGCATCCACGTCCACGGTAAGCGCAGAGCTGGCAGCCCTTTGAGTTTTGAGAACCGACGTTGTGCTGTTGCTTTTAATCAAGTCTCTTAGTTACCAGTTGTCAGTGTCACATGTTCTGTTGTGCACTAGACTTAGGCTTTTATTACTTTCCTCTAAAATTTCACACTTAATAAGCATGAAGTCGTATAGTATTTCCCTGGCGTTGGCCCTAAGATGGTGGTATGACTTATGACACCCCAGACTGGTCTGCTCCAGGCAATGATCCATTCATTGACTGGTGCTCTAGCAACAGCGTTTTGTTCCTAAACAATAAATGGCCCATGTAAAAAGAAACAACGGGAGTCCTGCGCCCATAGTTCTTTGCCCTCATTCCCATACGCCCATATCGTCTCCATCCTTCAAGGCCCAGAAGGAATGACACCACCTCCCTGAAGCCTTTCCTGACTCCCCCCCCAGGTGACATAATTGCTCCTAGCTCTAAGCTTAGATTACATATCACCTGTGTCTCTCTGATAGTACCTGCGCTCACTCTACCTTGTGATTTACTTATGCATGAGGAAAAAGTACCTTGGCTATTAATGCATAAGCTTCTTTCTGAGGTTAGAATTTTCTGACCCATCGTCATGTTTCATGGGGAACTTCACAGAGTCCTTCACATGTAAAGACACACAGACTCTCTTTGGGTCAATGGAGGAAGAAAAGAGGAGGAAGAAAGCAAGAGAAGTCACAATGGTTTTCAAAATGTGCAGATCTTGTGTTTAACGGGGAACATGCATGGAGAACTAAGTCTGGCTTAATACATTTTCTTGATTTAAATCCATTTTTCCAACTCAGGCATATAATATCTTAGTGAACATCCACAGAAAGTTGAATTGCCAAATCAGATAGACTCAACTGTCATAGCCTTTTACTTCCTGGGGACAGTCAGACCTTCTGTATACACCGAAGAGATGCTGTCTATTTAGGCTTAGTGTTTCAGCTTGTGAAAAATACCCCCTCCTCCATCTGCCTCTTACTAATTCCTGAATTTTCTCCATATGAGTTAGTACTTGAAATCAATAGGTGATGTCCCGCCAAAGAACCTAAATCAATATTCAACTGGAGTGGGAGTAAGTGTTAATAATTTCCTAAGATGGCAGAACCAAGCAGTGCTGCGGAGCTGGGCTTGGATAAGAACATGAGAGCAAAGGCCTGAGCAGCAAAGCGGAGGCAATATAAAAACAGTGGTTGGCTGTAAGAAAGAAAAGACTTTAAAAAGCCAGGGCCTACTTTCTCTGGCTCAGTGTTCCACACAGATCCCCCGTTTCCCAGCAAAACTTGGACTTGTACCTTTTCTTTAGGCCTGTGATAATTTTTACCTTCTTCTGTCTGTAAATTTCTTCTCAAGCTTTGGTTACGTATTTATTCAACCAAGAAATGTTTCTTGAGTGCTTAGGATGCACACGGCAAGGCATGCATAAGAAAGACAAAAGAAGGGCGCCCTCTCCCCTCTGAGCGAGCAGGGCCTGCCAGCCCCGTCAAGGAGCTTGTCTGCTAGAGGAGACGCGGCCCTCTGAGCTGTGAACCATCCTTTCCCCGCCAGGAGGGAGCCGCACAGCACGGCAGTGGGCTGCGTGTAATGCCGAGGAGGCCATTGATTCTTAGAAACACGTTTTTTACCTTCACATTTTAACATCGCTGAAATCTGGACATATCTCACAGTCAGTGGCATCATATAATTGGCAGTGATTTTTTTCTTTCTGGTACTATATAAAATAGTGGAGCATTTCACAGTCTATGGTGTCATCGTCCCAGTGAAATGCAGTCTAACACACTTCGATTACAACTGCGAAACACATTCTTAAAAATTTTTAAATTAACCTATGCGTAGGAAAAAAAAATTGGAAGGAAACTCTCTAAAATATTGATGGTTTTGTATCAGGGTGGTAGGAAAACAGGTGATTTCTTCTCTTTTTGTGCCTTCTAAAGACATTTTTAAAAGGGTTTTTGGAATGAGACCAATTTGAATGCAAATACTAGTCTACTCTGAACTGGGTGACTGTGGGCGAATTATTGAGCCTCAATTCACATTTGTTAAATGGGGAGAGTTTTATCGATCCTCTTGCGTCAATGGTAGTGAGGATTTGACAAGAAAAGCACCTGGCACAGAGTAGGAACTTAATTAATTTAATACTCTTCCTTCTACTCCCTTCTTTTCTTTGTTGTTATTAGACTCTTTGAGAATAGGGATGGTGTCTGTAGTTCTGGGCAAGCATAGCACTAGGTGCAAGGTAGACATTTAGTAAGTATTTACTGAATAAGTGATTGATACTCTCTCATTCAGCAAATGAATAATGAAATAAGAGGATACAGAAAATGGGATCTACCCTATCATTTTGTCCTACCACTTGGCAAAATACTCTTCTCCTGCATTTCCCTTTTTTTTAGTTAAATAATGAACATGTTGTCAACTTGAAGTTGTTGGGGTTCTTTCAACTTTCATATTTTAATTGTTAAAAATTCCCATAGCCAGTGAGAAATTGCTATCAGCCCTAAAAATAAATTCAAGGTACAGTTTGGCAAATTGGGGGATCATGGGACTTTCGTGAAATGGTGGGCAAGGGGTGGGGGGAATGTGATGAGGGCACAAAGGAAATGCCCGTGTGTCAGCCACTGGGCCACTGCTGGGAATTAGAGGACAGGAATCCAGATGCAACCTTACTCCCTCCTTCAAGCATTTTTCTGAACATGTTTTTCGGCAACTTCCTAGGCACATGCACTTCTCATCAACTCCTCTTTAGAATTGGGGCAAAATTCATCCACTGTTTTTCAAGTGGGTGATACAGAGCTGGGAGTGAGAGAAGACCTTAATGAGTTGCATTTCTTGGTCGTGCCTTTCAGCTTTCGTTGGATGGAGTTATACAGCATTCTGGTAACAGGGAACTTCATCTCCTAATAAAATTCGATTTTTAAAGTCCCAAGCAGTGCCAGGGCTGCTAACGCTATAGCTACAGCGGTATTTGTTCTCTCTTTCAAGAAGTTCATGACTTTAATGAGCGTTGTCACCCCCATCTCCTCTGTACTCCCTGCAGCAGGTAGAGGTCAGGGATAAATGTCATCACTGTATTTTTAGAGATGGGAGCTGAGATATATAAGAATATAAAATGTCTAGGCATCGCTACCTTGGCAAACTACACAGGCACCTTTAACAAGAGGTCTACATTTCCAAGCCACATCTTTAATCAACAACATGTTTCTAAGTTAAAGGCACACCAAAGTAAATATGTATTTGTATTTTTCCATGGGGAAATTTAGATGCCTGCATGTAGATGCTGTTGCATTACTTAAAGACCCTAAAAGTTAGAACTCAGGGAGGCTTTAGTCTTACAGATGAAGATGATGAGGTTCATTCAGTTTTGTTAATTGTGCCACAATAGGTGATACTGAGCCTAGACACTGTGTGTACTCTATGCACATTTTTATTAAGAGACATTTTGTAAAAGGCATACTTTGAAAAGATTAATAGCACCACTTTTTCAAGTTTGCTCGTCTAGTGAATGACCCAGGACCAGAGCTCAGTTTTGTTGATTCTGCATCTACCTCATTCTTTCATATCGCCTTCATTAGTAAGGGGGATAAAGTATTGTTTCTTTTAATGTTTGAATGTTGACAGCATTTACGGGTCTCTGTTTGGGTAACATCTCCAAGGCAACTTCTGAGTATATTTTAGTCCTTTATTTTAGATGTAAACATAAAGGCCCTCTTTCCAATCACGTGAGCTTGTTCTTTGGTCTTTTCTTTCTCATTAGAGCAATTCTCTTGCCCACGCAAGCTTCAGAATTTTGCCTGGATTAGTTGCCCAAGAGTTGATATTTGTATATTTTGTTATGGTACCAAGGGATAATTTCTTTTTAAATGCCCTATTCACTCTGGGGTATTAGCATGCCATGGGAATTCCTAGAACAGCATTTTCACAACCTTCCCACTGCTGGGCCTGTCAGGGAGAGGCCAAGTTTAGTTTAGCAAGTGTTTCTTGGTCACCCACTATGTGCCAGGCAAACACGAATGCCATTTAATCAATGCAGTGTGATCCATGCAGTAGCAGGTGTAAAAGGCACCTGATTTATTCACTGAAAGGTGTCAGAAAAGACTTCTTAGAGGCGATGCTTGAATTGGGCTTCCAACGCTCATTGGACAGGCCAAGTGGGGAAGGGCATTCCAGGGAGAGGGGAAGCAGAGTGCACAGATGACAGCATGGTGTGTGCATAGGGGGAAGAGCCAAAGGGACTCTGCGTGTGGCAGAGTGCTTAGGTCAAACCAAGGAATAGAGGAGGCGATGACTAGAGAACTAGCAAGGCCAGTCCATAAAGGATTTTGTGTGATGCTACAGAATACAGAAGTTAGTCTTGTATTTTAGGAGAATCAAGTAGAACGCGGTATAGAGAATGGGATGAGAGAGGTAGGGACATTGATCTGTAACTGTTGGGATTATACCGGGTGGCATGTATAGAACAACCAGCCAAACAGCGGTGACTTAAATAAAGAGTTCATTTCACTCAGATATAGCTGGTAAACAGGGGAACGATGTCAGGGTAACGTGGAATTGTATTTTTTCCTAGACAAAGAGAGCTAGAATAGCAAGAGAAGAATTGAAAAAGCCTTCCATCTACCTGCTTCACAGGCAGGAGCCCTTTCGGCTCTATCTTAATAAAATTTGAAATAAGCGCAAGCTCAGGGGCTCCCTCCCCAGAGAGGTGCACAGCCAGCCTCCTCGACAGCCAGCCTCCTCACATGGCCCCCGGCTAATGTCAGATAAACCTCCTTCCTATGTGCTGGACTCTACTGTCACCTGTTGTCTCAGCATCTGAGAGCCAACATTTCCAGTTGATTTTTTTGGTGCATTTTTAATGACCACACAGCAGCCTACAGCCACACTGAACTAGCCTCCCTGGCTGCCCAAATTCCCCCTCGAATATTTTTGTTACTGCCGTAATTAGAAGGTTTCATACATTCTGAGTGGCCTCTCCCAATCATAGT